TAGAATCAATTACAATTTTTATTTTTATTATTATTTAACTTATATTAACATTATTAAATATTTTCTATAAAAACTTTTATGTAAAAAAAACGTTGCAATATGTCTTTCATAAAATAAAAACAACAATTAAGTAAGTATTATAAATATATTGAAAATATAAAAATTAATATATTAAGAATATATAAAATTTATAAAAATATTACAAGATTAAGAAACTTTAATAAAAATTAAATTTAAATACAAATAATACAATTGGTAATAATATTGGTCACGTCCAAAAAAGAATGGGCACGCGATTACGTGAGTGTAAAAAGAAAAATAAAGGGATCGGCGGCAAAGGCAAACTAACCGGTAAAATGATCGATAAGTTAACGGTTTACTATGGTCTAGCTATACGTAGAAATTATGACTCAGCAGAGAATATGAAAACAGCTATTTGGGCTACACATAATCACTACAGTTCAACAAACGAAAATCCGAAACATGACTTCTGCCCGGCGGGAGCGGAATCGTGGTGCGAATGGCAGCGCGCGTACGCAGAGTTACCAAGCAATCAGAAGCAAAAAATAAAAAGTTTTATACACACCTACGACGCTTTGCCGACTGATGTTTTAACGGCTATCGAGCCAATTTACAAGGACTTGAGTAAACAAGAGTTATTAGATCGATGTGTTGGTGGATTTACGCAAAATAATAACGAAAGTTAATTATAATCAACTGATTTGGAAAATCAGTCCAAAAATTCTTCCAGGTGGCTTAATACCAATCGAAATAGCTGCATATGTGTCAGCTTGTGTTTTTAATGAAGGCTCAAAAGCTTTGTTACAAATAATGCAAGCGATGGGACTTTCTACTGGCCCAAATGCCCATGCATTCGTGGCAGACGAAGACGAGGGACGCGTCGCTATTGCCGAGCGCCGCGCGCAAGAAAATACACAAGAGGCCAGAAAGCATCGTAGACAGAAGAAAATTGATGCTTTGGAGGTGGCTTCGGCAGCAGAAGGCTTACTTTATGGGCCTGAAATCGATGATTCTGTGTAAGTTAAAAAAATTAAATTATACTCTACTGATAACTAGACCGCAAACTTTAAACGCGTATTTCTCGAAATTACATTTTTCTAAAAAGTCCCGTGCGGTGTCCACAATATCTCGAGAACCGTTAAAGCAATCGACCTAAACCTTTTTCGTACTTATTCTGTGTATCTAGGGCTTGTTCGTGAACGAAGGGTTTTTTTTTTAATGAAAACTTTTTTTTTATTGAAGAAAAACGAAAAATTAAGAGCCCGAAAAATTACGTTTTTCGTTAAAACGGCCGCCATTTTGTCAAAAATTATTTTTTCAAAAATTCCTTCGTTCACGAACAAGATATATTCATATACTAACAGAATCTTTTTGGTTTTTTGATTTCAGATAATCCAGATTCGAGCAGCAATGGACACCGCAAAACCAGTTTTTTGAAAGGGCCTTCAGGAGGATGGTCGTATCTTTTTTAATTATTAATATTTTTTATTTAAAAAATTATGTTACATTCATAAAAATATATTCTCTCACATAGACCAACCCAATTTTAAACAAGTCTTATAGTTAATGCAAAAAAAATTCTCAAAAATCACCTATTTTTCGGCTTCCTGACTAGGGATAA